TTAATTCAGACGCGTAATCGAATCAAAACATGAATTCAAAGGATATCAAAAGAATCAATAGCTCTTTCATACTTTCAGAGTTATAGCTCTTTGACAAATTTTCAAATGTATGAGTTGGCCTTAGGTTGGACTCCTATTTTCTGAGGTTTCAGCTATAAAAATGTCATTTCTTGGTCATTGCAACATGCCCCTTTTTTTGGCTTGACATTTTAATTGGATGTAAGGAGACATGCTTCTGTTAGTTAATGCAAATGTAAAGAAATGAAAATAACAAAATGCAAAATATGTTTAAATGAATAATGCATGCAATGTTCGGGGCATTGATAAAAAAATGTGTCTGTTATTATAAATAATCCTTATTGGGTACAAAAGTGTTACGTCTTAGGAGACAAAAAACATTTTAAAAGTATAGACCCCGAACAGTTTCTGACAGGTTGATTCATCTTCTGTCTTTTTTCTATCACCGGTTGAATACCCTGTCGAACTATTTCGGCTCCTCTGGATAAGCTATACAAGTGACAAGTTGCCTACCTCAAAAAGTCTCAAATGACTGCATCTCTGGCTTTTACTCTCTGCTGAGCCTGTTCCTAACGAAAGCGTCATTGGAGCCCTCCATCGATAGGAACTATCCGAAGCTTGCTTCTTGAATTTGTCAAAAATGGCTTGTTGTATTTAAAGGGACTCTCCATGTCAAATTTTCTCGTCTTTCCCCTGTAACCTTTGCCAACTCCAAAAGTTAACTTTTGGTGTGCACAGTGTAAATCCCGGTCCATCATAAGTATTCTTTGACCATAGCTGGACTTATGAGCTTTTCATCTCTTGTATTATAACCCCTTTGTCCATTAATGCAAATTATTTATATTTAACAAGAACGTTTTTGTTGGATCAACACCTTTATTGGATGATGTAAATGATAAAATAAAAAATAAAATAAAATAAGAATAAGACAAAAATGAAAGGAAAAAGTTAGTGAGATAAAGATAACAATCAAAATGATAATAAAAGTCCTACCCCACATGATATCTACCTAACATGCTTATTATTCCTACTCGGACATGATCTCTATCTCGTAAGTTAATTTTGAACAAGTCCTAACCACATAAATTTCTAGTTCACATACTTTGAACAGAAAATAAAACAAAAAATAATTCAGGCATCCTAGGTTTTGAAATAGAGTTTTGGGGTGGGCTCTAACTCCTGTAGTCTCCCGGTTTAGGTTCTAAAAAAGGTATCGAGTTCTCCTTGCTGGTGTCCCTTGGGCTTGCCAGACCCTTAGTCCTAAGCCTAGTATAAGCTTACGTGGACTAAGTTAAACTCGAGAGGATACATTCCCTTATGTCTGTGCGGTGAATAAATTCACATGAAGATATACGGTATATGAATCCCGAAGGCTACTTGCTAGGCTTGTGCGAAGAATAAATCTCATGAAGGTGTCGCTTTTACCCCCACTTAAAAATAGGTTTGGGGCTCGAGTTTAGAGCCTTAAGTGAAAAAAAAGTTTATCAAGCTGAAATCATTGAGAGAAACCATTAGTAAAACTATTTATTTGAAAAGATAAACAAAAGTAAGTAATAAGGATCAAAATGTTACCTTAAAATTTAAAGTCACCCTTTTCATTAAAAGGACAACTAGAAATTAGCTTAGCCTGACTCACTTACCTGTCCCCAGCGGAGTCGCCAAGCTGTCAGAACCATCTTTCGGCTGGGCCCAAAATTAGGCTTCGACTTAGGAAAATGATTTGGAGCTGTCACCGGTCATTTATTTTAAAACAAATGGGTTGATCATATACCTTTTTTCTTAACTGATCTACGTCTTACCAAAGATGTGTCGGATTCGAGAGTTGGTTACATTCAAGGAAGGGTTAGCACCCTTGAGCTGCCCTGTTGGTACTACGTAATTTCCAGTTGTCTTTAATTAAGAAAGTTGAAAGTTTAAATTAAAAGGTAAAATAGCGATCCAAAACTTACCTCTGATTGATTGAAATACCCTTAAAGGATAAAAATGTTAGGAAAAAAATGAAAATGAATAAAATAAAGGAAATACAAAACAAATGAAATAAATCAAACAAATAAAAAAAGTAAATAGAATAAATAAAGTAAAATAAAAAAATAGAAATAAAAAAAGAAAAAAATAAAGAAAATAAAGACAATAATGACAACATATATATATATATATATATATATATATATATATATATATGCAAGATAAAAATGGATATTAAATAAAAAAATAAAAGAGAAAAAAGTAAGTAAATAAATAAAACGAATATGCATATAAATAAAATGTTAAGGAAAAAAATAAAATATCTAGAACATATAAAAATAATATATATATAATAACTATAATAATAAAGAAAAAAATGAAGAACGATATAGTAAAGTAAAAAATAAAAAAAATAAAAAAAGTAGTATAATGTAATATAAATAAATAAAAACCAAAAAACAAAGAAATATAGAAATATAGAAAATAAATAGAAAAATATAACTAAAATATATAAAATAAAAAAACAATGATATATAAAGAATATAATAAAATACTAAAAAGTAATAATGAATAATAAAAACAGAAAGGATAAAAAGAAATAATATATATAAATAATAAATGGTATAATTAAATATACATAATAATAAGGGAATAAAATGAAAAAGAACTAAATTTTGGGGGCCAATTTAAAGAGGATTTAGGGTTTAAAATCGAATGTGGGGGGTCAAAATAAAGGTTTTAAGAGCAAGGGGGACCAAATGGGAATTATCCCATTTTTAAATAGAAACACGGGGTCGCGTGTGTTTCGGGACGGGTCGGTGGGGCTCCACGAGTCCAGTATATATTTCAAAAAAGAGAAACATGTTTCATTTTTTAAAACACCCCTCAAATGGATCAAAAACCTCCTCCCCCTTTTCTCTGTTTTGTTCTTCGAGTGTTCATCCAAGGGATGGACTGCCACCGTGGTTTCCAGAACCTAGTGGCCCACCGCCTCGCCTGCCGCCTTTGATCGGCACCGACCGCCGTTCATCGGCGGCCAAACATAAAAAAATTTGTTTTTCCTGAAAGCTTTTCTCACGTAGTTTATGAAAATCAAACTTGTTTTTTTCAAAAATGCCTCATGGGGGAGTAGATATGAGATTGAAAGTTATACACAACCCAACCACCCCGGGTCAATCACCATAGCCTTAGATTAGTCTTCTAAAAACAACCAACAATCAAAATGAGGGAAAAAAAGGACATGACCGATGTATTGCCCAATAACTTCAAAAATTCTTTCCAAAAAACACTAGTAAATTTTTTTTCTTGGTCAGACAAAGCAATCTTAGGTTGACCATGAAGCTTGTAAACTTGATCCAAGAAAACTTTAGCAACTGCAGTAGCAGTAAAAGGATGAACCAGAGGTAGAAAATGCTAATATTTGGTGAATTTGTCAATTACCACCAAAATAGAATTATATCTATTAGAAGTAGGCAACCCTTCAATTACATACATCGTAATAAATTCCCAAGTTTGTTGTGGAAGAGGTAAAGCTTGTAATAAACCAGGCTGTAAGATATTTTCATGTTTGATTCTCTGACAAACATCACACTGTTGCACATGTTGTTTAACCACGGCCTTCATTCCTTTCCAATAAAAATATAACTTCATTCTGTGATAAGTAGCCTGTATCCCAGAATAGTCACCTTGTGGTGAATCATGGAGTGTAGAAAGGATTTGTGTTCTTAAGCCACCTGTCTCTCCAATATAAACTCGGCCTTTGTATCTTAGAACTCCTTTAGTAAGACCAATATGCTATAGCATGACTGTCAAGTAACAATTTAGGAATTAAATCCTTTGCCAAAGAGTCTTGTTCATAACTGTTTTCCACCTCTTGGACCCAAGCAGGAATAATCATTGTAGCAGATAACTGATTTAATTAAGAAGAATCCTCAAACTGTCTTGATAAAGCATCAGCAGCCCTGTTATACTTCCCTTTTCAAAACTGAATAGAGTAGTCCAATCCTAGCAACTTTGTTAAGCCCTTTTTTTTTAATTGTAGTGGTAACCTTCTATTCTAGTAAGTGCTTTAATGATTCATGATATGTTTTAATAATAAATGGACTTCCTTCAAAATAATGCCTCCATTTAGAAACAACCATTAATATTGCTAGATACTCATTCTCATAAATAGATAAATCAACATGCTTTGGTCCCAAAGCCTTACTAAGATAAGCAAGTGGAATTCCTTCTTGAGATAGGACTGCACCTATACCCTTGGAACTGGCATCAGTTTCCAAACAAAATTGTTTTATGAAATCTGGTAGAGCTAACACAGGAGCATTACACATAGTTTCTTTGAGTCTGATAAAGTCCTTCTTAGCTTCCTCAGTCCAAAAAAATTGATCATTCTTCAACATTGTAGTGAGGGGTTTACTGATTTCCCCATACCCCTTTATAAACTTCTTGTAATAACCAGTAAGTCCCAAAAACCCTCTCAAGGATTTCAAATTCTTTGGAATGGACCAGTCCCGAATTGCCTGAATCTTTGAGGAATCTGTAGATACTCCCTTAGGAGAAATAATATGACCAAGATACTCTATTTCTGATTGGCCAAAAAAGCATTTACTTCTCTTAGCAAAAGGTTTATTTTGCCTTAGAACCTCCAAGAAAATTCTCAAATGCTGCTCATGACTATGCATATCATAACTATAGATTAAAATATCATCAAAAAATAATAGGACAAATTTCCTGAGATATACTCCAAATAGATCATTCATTAGAGCTTGAAAAGTAGCTGGTGCATTAGTTAAGCCAAAGGGCATTACCTTGAATTCAAAATGACCATAGTGTGTCTTGAAGGCTATTTTTGGAATGCCTTCAGGCTTAATCCTGATCTGCAAATAACCAGATCTCAAATCCAATTTAGAAAAAAAAATTACACCAGCTAGCTCATCCAAAAGATCATCCACCACAGGAATAGGAAATTTGTTCTTGACAGTTAATGCATTTAACTGCCTATAATCAATGCACATTCTCTAGCTCCCATATTTCTTCTTAACTAATAAACAAGGTGAAGCAAAAGGACTTTTGCTGGTTTGAATAATTGATGCTGCTAACATTTCAGCCACTTGTTTTTCAACCTCTGTCTTCTGATGATAAGGCATCCTATAGGGTCTAACATTGATTGTTTCAATTCCTGGTTTAAGAGTAATAGAATGATCATGCTTCCTTATTGGAGGCATCCCAGTAGGTTCTTCAAACACAACTTTATAATCAGTAATTACTGCTTGTAGAGTAGGAGGTATTTCATTAACAACAACCTCTGCATTTAATATATAGATCTCCCCCACTACTTCAGGATCTTTAAGTATCATATTTTGCATCTTGTTACATGGAATTATCTTCATTGCATTAGGATGTAACCCTCCCTTCAACACAATCTCCTGTTCACCCATTTGAAAGTTAAGAGTCATATTGTTAAAATCCATTAAAACTGGACTGTATTTCTTCATCCAGTCAACTCCTAGCACCATATCACTGCCTCCAAGGGGTAAAACCCTAAAATCATGTACAAAAGTAAAATCTTGCATCTTCCAGCTCAATTGTTTACTTTTTGTTGTGCTGTAAAGCTTATCACCATTAGCCACTGTGATAACTAAGGGATTAGTTTCTTCAAACTCCAACCCTTCTTTAGTCCACCTGTTAGTGACAAAACTGTGGGTGCTGCCACTGTCAATTAGGATACTGAGTGGTATCTTTTTAATGAATCCTTGGATCCTTAAAGTACTGCTTCCTGAATTGCTAGTAATTGCATTCATAGAAATCTCTGGATCTTTTTCCTCAAATACTACTTGTAATACTTCAGTTTCCTCTTGATCTTCTATCTCTTCCATGGAATTTAGTTGCTTCAATTTGCAGTGATGGCCTGGAATAAACTTATCACCACATTTATAGCATAAATTATTTGCTCTTCTATACTCCAATAATTGTTTTTTGTTTTGAGTGTTCCCTGGACTGTTTTTCAAAGATGAACTCAGTGAAAAATTAAGTGTTTTGAAACTGGTATTATTTCCTGACATCATTGGTCTTGGAGTGCTTCTAATTCTTTTTCTTTCCACCTCCAAAGATAACTCATATAATTTTGCTTTTCTAGCAGCTTCAGCTACAGTCTTTGGTTCCCGAACCTTAACTTTATGTTTCAATTCCTCTTTAAGACCACTCAAAAAGATGGAAACAAAATACTCCTCACCTAATTTAGGATTAATCTGAAGTAGATAAGGTTGAAGTTCCTCAAACTGAGCTTCATACTCCTCCACAGAAGATAGTTGAGTTAATTTATTAAACTTATCAATAACATCAATATATCTCTTATCAACAAATCGATGACACAAATCAGAGACAAACTCATGCCAAGTAACCCTACTCTTTTTCATGATATACCCATCAAACCAAACATCAACTCTACCAGTGAAATACATAGCAGCTATCTCTAATTTTTGAAGCTCAGGAACAGTAAAAATAGAAAAATACTTCTCACATTTTCTAATCCAACTCCTAGGATTACTGCCATCAAATAATTGTAGTTCTATTTTTGGTTTTGGAAAAACCATACTTGTATTGTTGTTGCTGGAATGTTTTTCCAGAAATGAATCGCCTTTAATGATCGATTGCTCCCCCGATTCAGTTGTATGGTTTATTGCTTTCATTTTTAGAACATCAGGAATTTGTTGAATAGCATCATGTGGCAGACTAGGTTTAGATGCTAAAATTTCAGGTTGTCCCGGTTGAAAGAAATACTTTTCACGCTCATCAATAACTGTGACTTATAAAGGTAGTTTACTTGGTTCTGTAAGCTGAACTGTAGGTAATGATTGCCTTTCTGCAGGAGAAGAATGTCCTGACTCAGTCCCAGCCTTCTGCATCAATCCCAAAAGTTGTTGGAGCATGGTTTTCGTTTCATTTATGGTAGTCTCCAAAGCCTGCATCCTCTGTTCCAAAGCACTCTGTTGATTAAGCCACCAAGTGGGAATCACGTTAGCTTAGAAGACTCTGCTGGATTAGCAGGAATATCCAGCTGCTGCTCAGTAAGAGACATGTGTTGTGTTTTTTTGATTTACCCAGTTTGAAAAAAAAATTCTGAACTTTTGGTTCAAAAAATCGTGCTTTGATTACCAATTGTAATGGTCTGCTCAAGAAATTAAGAAAGTACTAAGAAAATAGAGAAGATAGACTGAAGAAAACAGAATTATCAAGATTTTCATTAATAGATTTGATGCTCATTACAACTGATTTTTATAGGAATAGTCATAACAGATTGCCAACTGTACATTATTTTTCAACAAACTAGATTCCTTTAACTGATTTGTCTTCTACTGTTGATGCAGGTAATTGGGCTCATTTTCCTTCTCAGGTCCACTGAGTACTCCTTCCTTATCTCCATCAGCCCATACCCAGGTTCCAGGTCCAGCAGGTAATGAAATATCCTTATCCATCTTCTCTTCATCTAATTTCCCATTTTCAATCCCTAATTTCCCCATATTCCCCTTTTCTTCTTCAACAATCCCTAAATTCTGCTCATGGGTCATGACATTATCACATGCATTTATGAGTATATCTATTGTTGATCGAGAATATTCACTTTAACTTAATTTTTCTACCTTTAGAAATTTTGGTAACCTCTCTTGAGATTTTTCCATGGTTTTGAAACTCTCTTGAGAACCTTTTCAAAATCTCTCTTGAGATTCCTACAAACATTTGTCTCCATTGAGACTCGTTTCCATTGAAACACAATTTTTTTTGTCTCTCTTAAGACATTTTTCTTGAAATAAATATTGTCTCCCTTGAAACAAAGATTTCATTTCCCTTGAGACATGTTTCCTTTGAAACATATATTTTATCTTCTTAAGACCTATTTCCCTTGAAACATAGATTTTGTCTCCCTTGAGACTTGTTTCCCTTAAAACATAGATTTTGCTTCTCTTGAGACATGTTTCTCCTGAAACACATATTTTATATTCTTACGATTTGTTTCCCTTGAAATATATATTGTCTCCCTTAAAATATAGATTTTTCTCCCTTGAAACACAGATTTTGTCTTGCTTGAACCCGTTTTCCTTGAAACATAAATTTTGTCTCCCTTGTGACTCGTTACCCTTGAAACACAAATTTTAACTCCTTTAAGACTTGTCATGATGATTTTTTTGATAAGCGTGATTTTAGAAGCGAAAGTTAAGGAAATTTAGAAATGTTTAAAAAGACTTGGAAATGTTCGGAGTCGGCATCCACCTTTGGGATTAAGTAGGTCGAAAAATTGAAAAATGTCTTTTTAAAGAATTTTAAAATTAAAAAAAAAACTTAAAAAGACATGATTTAGTCTGCGATTTTAGAAATTTTGGGTCCAACAGTCGATTACGCTTGAGGAAGGATTAGCACCCTACAACGTCCATAATCGGTACCTTCAATTACATATTTTCCCTAATATTGAAAATCTAAGAATTCAAATATAAATTTAATTAATGATTTCTTTATTCCCTAACTAAAATATTTTAGGAGAAATGCACATTATTATTTATTTCCAATTAAAGAAGAAATTAATTCCTTAATTTGCACTAAGGCAATTATTTCTTTTTTTTTAATTGAAATAATGAAATATTGTTAATCCCTAAAAAATATAAAAATTAAAACAAATATTAAAATCTAATAAAAAAACTCAAGGATTAATCAACTATTCAATTTATTATTGGACAATATAAAGGATGTTCATTTATTTAAAAAATATTTAATTTATTGAAAGGCCACATTTGTACGAATAATCATATTGAATCGTGCATCCACAAATTACAGTGCTTTTCATGATCTATTTTTAAGATAAGTGTTCTTGAAAATATAAAAATAATAACATTAAAAAGTATTAGCAAATATGAAGGGGATATTTTATAATTTCCTAAAACGTTTTAGTAAAATATGCATAACATATATAAGAGTTAAAATATATAGTATAATGCATACGGAAAGTGAAACAAATAAGATGTAAAATAATATACATATTTAATTATACCATATATTTATAAGGTTTAATACGCACGCATATATATAATATATATAAACAGTATATTATAACATATTCATGTAATCAATGATATATAATAAGTTACTATATATACAGTTTTAACGTGAGCATATACATCAATATAATAATGCACGAGTCATATCTGAGTAGATGCTAAATTTGACATCAAAACGCAGAGACAGTACAAAATATTTAGTGATTAAATTCAAGTGCAAAAAATGGTTGCCAAATTAAGAACAGTACATGGCACAAAGGATGAAAATGAACTAACTACAAGATATTAAATAGAACAAATTAAGACATAGAAGGACTAAAAATACAATTACTCCACCAATCTCAAAACGTGTGAATTCATTTCCTGGTTCAGATCCAACCCAAACATTCAACTATAAAACTTTGAAAGAAATAGACTCATTTTTCACTTATTTCTCTGTAGGCACCCATTTTCATCTGGGATTTTCATTTATATTTATATTATATTTTTATAGTATTATTATATATATTATATATTGTATGGTATATATATATATATATAATATTATGGTATATATTATAGTATATATTATATTTATATCATATAGTATTATTATTACTATTTATATATATATATTATAGTATATGTATTATATTATATTATTATATTTATATTATATATTTATTTATTATTTTGATTTTATTTGTAGGTCCAAATCCAATCCAACAAAGTCCATCCCACAATCCAAAACCCGGTCCAAAGTACAAAGATCTAGTAGCCCAACCACAGTTGCAAGCTTGACCCAGCAAGCCATATAGAGGAGGCCCAACAGATGAGCTCGCCTGACCCAGTAGACCGAATCTACCAAAGGGAGGTCCACATACTTGCTAGGATTTTACCCTTAACTTTGGCGCCGCACAATTGAAGATCGTTAGATCAAGATGGAGATCAACGGCCAGAATCATAAGAGAAATATCATCACAACGCAACCAATCTTGGGTTATTGGATCTGTAATCAATCCAACGGCCAAGATCAAATCCCAAAATGTTCCAAAAGCTCAAAAGACACTAACGGGCGGTCGATTAAAGGCGAGTGAATACCATGTGTCGATGAAGACATCGAACAAAAGCAACCTCTTGGCGATTTTCAAGCGATTTGATGAACCAAAATCAATGCCAAATTGAACCAAATCAGTGGCCAAATCTCAAGGAAACAAGAAACAATCAAATCGAACAAGAAATGGAAAAATCGAAGAAAACAAAAATGGAACCCATATTTCCCATGATTTTCTGTGAGAGGGAAATATATACCCAAATCCGAGCAAAATAGAAAATGAGAGGAACAACCCCATATTGTTTTGGCTAATTCATCACCGATTTAAGAGGAATAAGCCATTGTCAAAGGCTATATAAAGCTTATAAAACGAAGTATCAGGGAGGATGTCAGTATTCGAAACCCACAAAAAACATAAAAAAAATCGAAGAAAGCATAGAGACGAGGCAAACTTAGTTTTGTTGCCGAGGAGGGGAAGAGTCGCCGTCGAGGAAAGCAAATGGCCACTTAAGAACCGAAGGGTCACCGGAGATAAAAGATGAAAACTAGACATTTCGGTCTAGATCTACATTGAGGGGATTTGTTTTTGGTGATTATGGGTTCAAATTTGGGTTCTTGAGAATGAGACGATTGTTTCAAGGTATATTAGGGGTCTTTAACCACCGTGGATGGTGGTCGGAGTGGTGGCAACGACGGTGGTTCGACGAGGGAGCTTTGACTGGTGGGGAGAGTGCTTGAGAGAATTTAAGGTGAGAGCTTTGGTGAGAATGTTTTCAAATGAGCTTGAAAATGGGGTTTCAGTTATTTATATATCAGGGATTATTGTGTAAATACTAAATAGTTAAATTATTTTCGTATTCCCCCTTAGTTTGAAACATAATCCACTTTGGTTACCACGTGTAATTTTACCCCTTAATTTTAATTTTATTCAATTTAATCCTCATTCTATTTTATTATATTTTGTTATATTAACCACTTTTTTATCTTGTAGAATTTAATTTTGTTTCCTTTCTTATTTTTTGTTTATTGTTTTTATCCTAACATTTATTTTATTTTGAGGAGCCCAATAAATTTTTGATTAATCGTCAAAGGTAAAAACTCGGATCGATCTTAAACTTTATTTAAACTTTAAATTTTCACAATTAAGATGACCTGATTATCGTGTGGTACCGAAAGGGTGATTTGGGGGTGTTAATCCTTCCCCGATAATAATCGACTGTCGAATCTGACAATTATCTGGTAAAACGAAGATCTGATAATTGGGCAAAAAATCAGGTGTCCGATACACCTAACTCGAAAGCGATCGATGGAGACTCCATCATGATTCCAAGTCAAATCGCGAACTCGGGGCCACTCGAAGGACGGTTACGACAGCTTGGCGACTCTGTTGGGCACTCAAGTAAGAGAGTCAGGCCAAAACAATTCCTGATTTTCTTTATAAGCGAAAGTTGTAAGTTTGGATTATAATTTATCTTTTCGATCCTTATTATTTACCTTTGATTATTATTTTTCCAAATAAATAGTTGGACTGACGGTTTTCTAATGATTTCATCTTTTTAAAAAAATATTCATCTCAAGCCATATTCCCAGGCTCCAAACCTTTTTAAGTGGAAGTGAAAGCGATGGCTTTGTGGGAATTTATTCTCCGTATAGGCCTAGCAATTAACCTTCGGGATTCATATACCTTATGTCTTCGTGTGAATTTATTCTTCGTACAAACATAAAGGAATATATCCTCTCGAGTTTAACTCGATCCACATCAGCCTGTGATGAGCTTAGGACTGAGGGTCTGGCAGGCCCAAGATGGCACCGGAAAGGAGAACTCGAGTACCTCTTTTAGAACCAAACTGTGATGATGCAAGGAATTATAGCTCACCCCAAAACTTCATTCAAAACATAGGATGCTTGATTTATTTCATGCTTTATTTTTAATGTTCAAAGCATGCGAATTGGAAATATATGTGGTTAGGACTTGTTCAAGAAAATAACATACGGGATAGAGATCATGTCCGAGTAGGAATAAAAAGCACGTGGGTGTCACGCGGGGTAGGAATTGTTTTTATTTTGATCATTATTCCTTTTTTACTAAATTGTTTCCTTTCATTTTTGTTTTATTTTTTTTATCATTTGCATCATTTAAAGAGGTGTTGATCCATGAAGTGTTCGTTAAAACTCAAATAGTTTGCATTAATGGAAAAAAAGGTTATAATGCAAAAGGTAAAAAACGCAGAAGTACAACTATGGTCAGAAAAGACTCAGAAGGAAAAAGGGAGCAATCTGCAACATAACTATGTATCATACTAGGCTGGCTACGCCTCAATCATCCTCATACAGAATGATATCTAGGAGTTGCAGAATATTTGGGACAGTTGGAGGAATGACAAGAAACAAAGGTTTTGCCAGTGATATAGTGATATCGCACACCTGCTCTATGTCAGGATAGATGAACCTTTAGTTTGAGCCTTAATGTAATTTTGGAATTTGGGAT